AAAAAAAAAAAAAAGAATTTAAAATTGTACATTAGCTATTAGAAACTATACTCTGAGGCCAGGCACAGTGGCTCATGCCTGTAATTCTACCATTCTGGAAGACTGAGGGGGGTGGATCTCCTGAACTTTCGAGTTTGAGACCAGCCTGAGCCAGAGCAAGACCTCATTTCTAAAGATAGTTAGACATTGTGGTGGGCACCTGTAGTCCCAGCTACTTGGGAGGCTGAGGCAAGAGAATCACTTGAACCCAAGAGTTTCAGATTGCTGTGAGCTATGATGCCACAGTGCTCTACTGAGGGTGACAAGGTGAGATTCTGCCTCAGAAAAAAAAAGAAAGAAAGAAAAGAAACTATATTCTGTATCTTAATGATGCTGCTGATGTTATTCATTGCTTTTCATTTATCTTTAACTCTGGAAATATTTATATCATGGACAACAGCTTACATGTTTTGCTTTTTTATCTTTGTACAGATAATAAAGAGCAAACAACTGACCAGCCTTTAGGTGAGTAGAGCTTTAAAGCATATGATCAAGATCTGAGTGTAGTATTTAAAACTCTAGAAGGAATTTAAGACATTTTAATTTGATTTTTATAAATATTAGAATAATTTTGGGATCAAATATTTAAATTTTTATTTGTAAAAAGGTACAGAAGAGAAAGTTTAAGAAAGATTACAAAATCTTTGTAATCTTTGTAATTTCTGGGGTCAAGTCAACTTCTGTGAAATAATTTGTAAGTGTCTGCAAATATGCAAGTAAATGTATGAACAGAAAACACATGTCACATAATTAGCACAAAGGAAGACGTGATTAATACTATCTGTGATGGAGGATGGAGATTTAGAAAGCATCAGAAGGGTTTGCAGTAAGCTTTAGAGTTTGCTTCTCAATCTTTTCTGCTGAGAAGAAAAGAGAATTTGGGATAAAATGTAAACGAATAGTTGTACTTAACCAATGCCTGGGAAAAGAAAATGTTAAAGGAGAAAACTAAGAAAATAAGAGCCCGCCAGGAGATTGATAACATAAACATTTGGCAAATTAATATTAAGAGGTGATAAAAATAGTCATTGTCTGATCCTAACAGAATTCAGGTAAACTAATGTCTAAAATTTGTCCACTGGATTCAGCTACTGAAGAAATAATTGATGAGTCTCACTGAAATGTTGAAAGTGCCTAATATGAACCAGTTAACAAGATAGGAATTGAAACATGGATAAAATGTATACAATAGTAGATAAAGAATTCAGAAGTGAACAACTGAAGACATAGAGTATAAATTTATTAAACTATGGTGATTAGAGATTACATGGGGCATATATTCATATCTGTGCTGCCCTTTATGAAGTAAGAGAACAGGGTTGGTCTCTTAACTCAAGTCCTTGCAGTCTTAGTAAGGGGAGAGAGATAGTAAATGAATTATATAATACATGGTACATACCACAATAGAAATATGTAAAAATCTAGAAATCCTTCTTAAGAAGATGGTGATCAGATTAATCTTGGAGAGTCAAGAAGGCTTTACCTAAGAGATGAAGCCCAGGTGAGGATTTTAAGGTATAAATTGGGAGATCCTAAAGTGCATAAGATGAGAAGGTGTGTTCAAGGCAAATGGGATCAGGTTTCATTCACGAGGGAGAGAGGAAGAAAAAGGAAAAAAAGGGATAAGACATGGCAAGGACAGAGGCATCAAATAGGTGTTATGGGTTAGGAATGAGCAGTTCAGTGTTGCTGGAAGACAGTGTACTAGGGAAGAAGCACTAGGGATTGGACTACTAGTGTAGTTACCTGTTACTGAATAACATTATTCCAAATTTACTGTTTTAAAAACAATAGCAGGCTGGGCATGACGGCTCACACGTGTAACCTCAGTACTTTGAGAGGCCCAACTAAAAGAATTATTTGAAGTCACAAGTTCAAGACCCCATCTCTACAAAACATGTTTTAAAAATTAACCAGGTATGGTGGCACATACCTCTAGTTCCAGCTACTTGGAAGGCTAAGGCAGGAGGATCACTTGAGCCCAGGAATTCAAGCTTATAGTGAGCCATGATTGGGCCATTGTATGCTAGCCTAGGTGGCAAAGTAAGATCTTATCTCTGAAGGAAAATAAAAAATAAATCAGTTTTATTATCTCTCATGGTTCTCTGGGCCAGACTAGGTTTAGCAGACGGTTCTTCTGCTGCTGATCTCTCCTGGGGTCTCTAATGGGGTTGCATTCAGATGATGGTGGGACTCCAGAATCCAAGGTGCCTTCACTCACTTGCATGGCAGCTTAGTGGGGAATTGGTGAACGATTGAAAGTCTCTTTCTCTGTCCTACCTTCTTTCCCTCCCTCCCTTTCCCTCAGTTTCTCTTCCTTCCCTGAGTGATCTCTCCCATGTAGCTGTTTTTTTACATGATGGCTAGTTACCCAAAGTGGAAACCATCAGAGCTTCTTAAGGCTTAGACTCAGAACTGGCAGAGTGTCACACCATATTATGCTCAAAAAAAGTCATGTGCAGTCCAGATTCAGGGGTGGGGGGACAACACTACACAAGGGCAAGGATACCTTGGTTCACTGGGGGCCAACCATTTCCACAGCTGAACAGATAGGTGTGGACTAGTATGTGAATGGCCTTATATGCCAAACTAAGAAACTTGGACTTTATTTGGTAGGACATGGAGAGTCGTTAAAAAATTTAATACATGAGAATAACAAGAACTATGTATTTAACCAGTCAAATTTGATCCATTACCAGTTTTTGATGGACATCCAACAAACTTATTTAACAGATAGTTAATATTATTTAATGTGTATCAGACCCTTTTCTAGGTGAATATTAACTCATTTTGGATGAGTAACATAATAGAACTCTTGGACATGAAGTTAATGGTGTAACACTGTATTTTTGAAGAATATATTTCATTAAGCATTGGAAGATGTCTAGGATCTTGTAGTTAAAATATCTTTCTGAAGTGGTTTCATTATTCTTTTGCTTAGTCAACTGGCATTTTTGTTTCCATTTTCCCATAAATGTTTTGTGCTCAAGAAGTTGTGGGTGGCTTTTACAATAAATGTTTTTCTTTTTTTTTTTTTTTTTTTT